CAACAACAACAACCCTTCTTACCCAAAGACAAACACATCACTTTGATGTCGAATGGTTAACCATTCTATGGTGGGCGTACCTCACTAGGGGAGTTGCCCACCCTGCCCCCATATACCTATCTATTGCTTGTCTGAAAATGGAACCACAGGGGTGATTTCAGTTCCAGACCTGGAGAGCAACCAAGGGACATGGTCTCAGAGGTCCACCAAGCTCTGTCTGACCAGTGAGCCTGGTTTGTTTGTTTTTTTTCTTGTAATGATTATGAGTTTTTTCCTACATGTTCTCCCCCTGTATCCAGAACTTTCTAATGTGATCCCTTTTAGAGCAGTTGGTAGTGGAAGCTGGGTCCCATCTAGTTTTGGTCTCAGAGGTGTGGAGACTGATGTCCACGTGGCCATTGGCCCACTGGACGCATTGTTTCCAAGCCTCTTTAATTCTCATCAGTCCTCTTTTGCATATGGAGTGCCCCGTAGATGGACACTGGTGAGCTCTCAAGATCCCAGTCACTGCTCACCAAAGGGGCATGCAGAACACTGTCCTTGTTACTCCAATTGACCAGATTGTCCCCCGAGACTATGACCCTGAGCCCCCAGACCCAGTGGTTCATTCCCTCAGGGGGTTGGTTATTTCTAGGGAGTGTTGGTAATGTTACTCCCTGTATTTCTGTACTTTTTGAGGTTTATCCTCATGGTGTACAGCAGGACTTCACCTCTTTTCATGGCTGAGTAGAGTAGTCCATGCTTGCTTGTGCTTTATTGAGTATGAAAAGGCATTCAGCTGTGTAGAGCATGACAAACTATTGGTTACATTGCAAAAATAGGTATCCCAGAACCCCTAACTGTGCTCACAAGGAACCTATGTATACACCAAGAGGCAGTTGTTAGAACAGAACAGGGGGACGCTGAGGAAAGGTGTGTGGCAGGGTTGTATCCTATCACCAACTCTATCTGACCTGTATGCTGAGCAAATAATCCAAGAAGCTGGATTATATGAAGAACGTGGCATCAGGATTGGAGGAAGACTCATTAACAACCTGCAATATGAAGATGATACAACCTAGCTTACTGAAAGTGAAAAGGAGAAAATGCTAACTGATGAAAATCAACGACCACAGCCTTCTGGATGGATTGCATCTCAACGAAAAAAAACAAAAATCCTCACCACTGGACCAATAAACAACATCCATATCAATGGAGAAAAGATGGAAGTTGCTAACGACTTCATTCTTGGATCAACTATCAACACTCATGGAAGCAGCAGTCAAGACCTCAAATGACATATTGCATTAGACAAATCTGCTGCACAAAACCTTTTTAAAGTGTTGAAGAGCAAATATGTCAGCTTGAGGACTAAGGTGCACCTGACCCAAGCCATGGTATTTTCAGTAACCTCATATGCATGCGAAAGCTGGACGGTGATTAAGGAAGACTGTAGAAGAATTGATGCTTTTGAGTTGTGTGTTAGAGGAGATTATTGAAAGTGCCAGGGGCTGCCAAAAGAACCAACAGATCTGTGTTGGAAGAAGTGCAGCTGGAATGCGCCTTAACAGCCAGGATAGCCATGTTGTTGTTGGTTATGTGCCGTGGAGTTGGTTCTGACTCATAACTACCCTGTACAGGGTTTCTGAGGCTGTAAATCTTTACGGGAGCAGAAAGTCTCATCTTTCTCCCGTGGAACAGCTGGTAGTTTCGAACTGCTGATCTTGAGGTTCGCAGCCCGATTCATAACAACTATGCTACCAGAGCGCCTTAGGCTAGCCATGCTTCTGACTTATTATCAGGAGGGACCAGTCCCTAGAGAAGGATATCATGCATATAAAGTGGAAGATCATAGAAAGAGAGGAAGACCCTCAACAAAATAGATTGGGCCAGTGGCAGCAGCAGTGGGCTCAAGCGTACGATGACCGTGAGGGTGACCCAGAGTTGGTAGCGTTTGTTTTCTTCTGTCATGCCTGGGGTTGCTGTGAGTCACACGGAGCCTAACAACACCAGAAGTTTTCTATCCAGTGGATGGACCATGTGGTGTGTACCATTAACTGGCTGATGCTCTAATGTGTTTTTTAAGTCAGCAAATTTGAGGCTCCCTGGATGGTTCCCAGGGGCCTCAGACGCTTTACCCTTTGTTTTGGTCAGGGTGGGTGGGATCCGCTGGAATAACCGCAGCCCTGAGTCTCCAGACTGAGAACCTACAGCTTTGCTTCTTCTGTGTGACTAATCCATCAGGGGTCAGCGAGGGGGTGAGGGGGGGTTGAGAGGTCTGCCTCCCCCGTGTACACTCCATCTGAGGTGATCTGCTCGCCTGGCTGGGACGTAGGTGGTGGGGTAGGACTAGGGGCAAAGCACGGAAGCTCTTGAAAGACATTTTAAAAATCATTTTATTGTGGTAAGACATATCTAAGTATAAAAATTTCACTGTTTTGCCATTTTTGCTAAAAAAGTTCAATCGCATCCAGTGCATTCACCATATTATACAATCATCATCTCTGTTTCTGGAACATTCTCATCCCGCTGAGCAGATGCTGGAAACCTCAGCCGCCTTGTCTGGACAGAGGGTGGAGGGGAGGCATCCAGGTGAGAACTCCAACTCTCCCTTCCCTTCCCCCAGAAAGAGGTGGGGAAACTGGTTTTCTGTGTCTGAGAATTCTTTGTGGTCCAGAACAAAGAGAGTGGGGGAGGGGGGTGGGGGGTGCCCAAAGCAGGGTTTCGAGGCAGGAAAAAGTCAGGGGAAGAGAAGCAAAGAGAAATGAAGATGGAGAGAGAGTTGGAGAGACAGTGAAAGAGAGAAACAGACATACACAGAGACAGAGAGACACACAGATCAAGACAGAGATGGAGAAAGAGACAGAAACAGACAGAGATATGGAGATAAAGATAGAGAGACAGATAGATAAAGACAGAGATATAGAGAAATGACTCAATGGCACATAACAACAACAACAACAATAGAGAGATGAAGAGAGACAGAGATATAGTCAGAGACAGAGATATAAAGACAGATGAAGAGATAGAGAGACAGAGATAAAGACAGAACGCTGGAGAGAGAGAGACAGAGAAACAGACAGAGCCAGAAAGACAGAGACAGCTCAGGAAGCCGTGACCCGTGTCAGGTGTTGGGCCCGGGGGTGGGGCCATCGTGGCCTCTGGGGTGGACGGCTCCACCTGTGACTTGAGCTGAGACGTTCATACAGCGGTATTTAGGAGTGGTCAGCAGAGCCAACCCCCGGTGACAAGATGAAGCCTCTGCCAGCTAAAGGGCTTTGGGGAGGGGAGGGTGTCCCTGTCTGTGAAATGGGGGCCCTACTGAGAGGGGACCTGAGGGATGGGGAAGCTGGCTTTGTCTGAACCCCAGAACTGCCTTCCTGAAGGGGCTCCCACATTACATTCTTGGGCTGACACAGAATTGCCTGACACACAGTGAAGAGGACGGCCAACATCAAAGAGCATCCTCCAAGGCCCAGACCCTCTCTGTGGACCAGGGTCTTTCCTGTACCTCAGACCAGGGTCTCCCCAGAGCAGACACCTCCTCCCTCAGACCGGGATCTCCCCAGAGCAGACACCTCCTCCCTCAGTCTGGGGTCTCCCCAGAGCAGATGCCTCCTCCCTCAGACCGGGGTCTCCCTGTGGATCTTGTCAGTGTCTCTCTGCTCTGCCCAAAGCAGACATTCCTGAGTCCCCTTCCCTCTCCTTGCTCCAATCCTGCTCCCAGTCTGCGCCCCTTAGAGCTATTTTGGGCCCCAACTGTGGCTGCTGGTCATCTTCCCGATGGTGTAGTGTGGCTTCCCTGACTGGCAAGGAGCCTGTAGGCTCCCGGGCTGACCAGGGCGAATTCAAACCAGCTGCTCCCGGTGGGTGGGTAGGTGGGTGGAGGGTTCATTGGACGTATCTTCTTCTCTCCAGGGACAGAGGGGAAACTAAGGTACTGGAAAGCCCAAGGGTTTCCAGAGCTACCCAGCCGACTGAGGCAAGGCCAGGATGCGGGTCTGCACCACACCCTAGGCCTGTATGATCCTGCCTCCCAGGTGAGCCTGGATAACATGGAGCCCAGTGACCGCCTCCTCCAACCTCCCGGAAAAGGGCGTGATCCGGGGACTCAGCAAGGGTGGACGGAACCTCAGGAGGTACCAGTCTAATTGGTTCTAAAGAAGGTTGGGATGGCCAGGTCCAGTGCCTGCTAGTATTGAACCGGTCACTCCAGCCATTCCACACACTGACCATACCTCCCCTATGCCAGGTGTGCCTGGCACACACCTGAGGACCTGAGAGGTGGGGGGCCAGAGGCAGAGGCAGTCCACGTGGGGACAATAAGAGTCACCAAGCCAACTAAGGCAGACTGGGATAGGGGAGACCATTTCAGTCCATAAACTGAGCCTTTTTCTGTATCACATTGTGGAGTGTCCCCATGGGCCACATGCCAAGCCCCTTAGGTGTCGCTGGACATGCTGGAGAGGGGGTTGGGTCTAGTCCTCAGATTTGGCCTCCTCCAAATTCGGGCCTCCTCCCTCACACTAGATACTCCCCCAAGGTTAGAATGAGGCTGGTCTCCTCCCTCTGATTAGGACTCCTGGGGGGGGGTAGCTGTGGCCTCCCCAGGTGCCAGGACCCACATTTCCCTCCTTAACTAGACTAGACTCTCCACCCTCACCCCCGTGGAGAACAATTCCACCTTCAGGTGGAGGAATGGATCGCCTTCCTTCTTGGACCTTAGAGCATTTGGCAAAGTCTTAGAAGCAGAAAGAATTGACGGGGGTCCTGCTTCATTCCCAGCTTGCAATTCAAAAAGCAGAAAATAAAAAAATTCTCCAGGAAAATAAGAATGGTAAGGACACCGTTGAGCCCAGAAAGTCCATTCCTCCCCGTGATTACTGGCACGTGCTTGGTAGCTCTCGGGTCACGGGTTTAGATCTATTTCCTAAGGTGGGGGCTTCATAACAGTCTTGGCAGTTGACCATCAGGGTCACGCAGGGCAGCACCAGGTGGGTGGCCCTGTCCCAGCACCAAGCTCAGTCCTCATCCTCGCTGGCATAGATGCGGGCTTCCCAGCGTTCAGCCATGGTGTTCTTATGCCGGGTCACTCGTGTGGCTTCCAGAACCTGTAGGAGGGCAGAGTCCCCATCACGGTCCTAACCTCTCCTAGATGCATGAGACGCCTATAACATGGCAGTCCCCTCCTCTGTTTTAGACCCTCTTGTTGTTGTTGTTAGGTGCCATTGAGTTGGTTCTAACTCACAGTGATTCAATGCATAATAGCACGAAACTGATCGGTCCTGCACCGCCCTCACAAGTGTCCCGTTGGAGCCCATTGTTGCTGCCACTGCGCCAATCCATCTCGTTGGGGATCTTTCTCTTTTTCACGGACCCTCTACTTTTCCAAGCATGATGTCCTCCATCTCTAACATAGCCCTTTACCTCTAGTGATATGACCAAAGGATGCGTTAACTGATACTGGGTGACATGGCCGGGAACAAGTCTCCCTGAACTGAGAGGAACTGATGCCTTTGAATACTGATATTGGCAAAGAATATGGACTATGTCAGAACGCTTCTTAGAAGACAGGATGGCTAGACTTCCTCTCATGTACTTTGGACCAATTATCAGGAGGGACCTGTCCCTGGAGAAGGTCAGTGAAAATGAGGACGAAGACGCTCCTGCTGTGCATTGACACAGTGACAGCAACAATCCACTCAAGGGTCACAATAGCTGTGAGGATGGCCCAGGACCAGGAAGTGAATCCTTTTGTGTATAGGATCGTTATGTGTTGAAGTGGCTGGCCAGCACCTAGAAACACTAACAACCTGAATCCAGTTAAGGAAGGTCACAAATGGTTTTCATTTACTGAATGAGGTAGCTGGGTGTCTATACCCTTTCAGATTAATCCTTTACTCAAATCAAGTGTCCTTGTCTTGGGTCTAATCTGCTCAAAAAACATCTCTGTCTGATAAACAGGCAGCACACAGCCCCCCTTTCCCTAATTTGTGGCTAAGGCAGACATCAAGAGCAGATTACAGGTTGCACAGATGTGTCCAGGGGATCTAGGCGAAACAGAATTTGTTGTTCATTGACCCTGTTGGTGTTCACTGTTTGGAATCAGTCAAGTTTAAGGTTAAAGAGTCGCCGCCGCAGCCATCAACATGTCAGCCCCAAGGGCACTCATGAAACTACCACCTATTCAATCTACGGGGCTGTCCCCGTCCGCAATGAGAAAGGTGAGATCTCAATGGGAAAAGTGAAGGTGAAACACTATGTATCAGGAAAGAGGCCAGGCTATGCCCTTATGGAGTCCCCCGATGAGGAGGATGAAGAGCTTCAGTTCATTCAGGAAGCCAAAGAACAAGACGCAGAGCCTGAGGAACAGGAAGAAGATTCGTCTAGTGAGCCCCGTCTGCGGCGTCACAAGAACTGTATTAGTGACGATGTGGAAGAAGGATGGGCTCCACACCGGAATACAGTGGAACCTGAAGTGGTAGGAGAGAGCGATTCAGAAGTAGAGGGAGATGCGTGGCACATGGAACGAGAAGATAGCCGTGAAGAAGAGGAAGAAATTGATGAGCAGGACATTGAACGACGCCGTGGGATGATGCATCACCAAGCACAGAAGAGAAACAATGAAGAGATGGACGCGATGGAGGTGGAGGATGAGGGACGCTCTGGGAAGGAGTCTGAATCCGAGTCTGAGTATGAAGAGTACACAGACAGTGAAGATGAAATGGAGCCTCGCTTTAAGCCAGTCTTCATAGGAAAGAAGGATCGAGTGCAGTCCAAGAACGTGAGGCTGAAGCATTGAAACAGAAGGAGCTGGAGAAGGAGGCAAAACGCATGGCAGAGGAGAGACGCAAGTACACACTCAAGATTGTAGCAGAAGAGACCAACAAGGAGCTGGAAGAGAACAAGCGGTCCCTAGCGGCACTGGATGCACTCAACACAGATGATGAAAATGATGAGGAGGAATATGAGGCATGGAAAGTTTGAGAGTTAAGGAGAATCAAGAGGGACAGAGAAGATCGTGACGCGCTCGAGGAGAAGGCAGAAATTGAACGCAGGCGAAACCTGACTGAGGAAGAACGGCGAGCTGAGCTTCGGGCAAATGGCAAAGTCATTACCAACAAAGCTGTTAAGGGCAAAGGCAAGTTCTTACAGAAGTATCATCATCAGGGAGCCTGCTTCATGGATGAAGATGAAGAAGTATACAAGAGAGATTTCAGTGCATCTACTCTTGAAGATTATTTCAATGAAGCCATTCTTCCTAAAGTCATGCAGGTCAAGAACGTTGGATGTTCTGGCCGTACGAAATACACCCACCTTGTGGATCAAGACACCACTTTCTTCGACTCAGCTTGGGGTCAATAGAGTGCCCAAAACACAAAGTTCTTCAAACAAAAGGCAGCTGGAGTATGAGATGTATTTGAGCGGCCATCTGCCAAGAAGCAGAAAACTACCTAGTGTTCAATTGCTTCAAATCTTCCAACTTCACAGTGCTTGGTCCTTCATTTACTTTTATTTCATGAGCACCAACCTACTACGCCTATTACCATACTTGTAACAGTGAGCTGCCCAGCATTTGAAGGTGCTTTATGGGTTTGGACACATACTGAGAAACCTACAGAAAAGCATTGTCTAGAAAGGACTTAAAAGTTTGAGAAATTTTAGGTTTGATCACTGCTGTGGCTCCCATAATCACATGAGATTGTTTGGTTTCTTTTTTCAGGTTCTGAGCTTGAATCAGAAACATGGGCACATTAATGGGCACTAATTACTTCTGCCTTAGGGCTAATTTAAGCTAATTGAAAACCTGTCTTGCACTTCTTGGTTGGAGTAAATTTTTTTTAGATGAAACATATTTTTGATCCATTTATGTGTATTAAAAAAATAAAAAGATCACACACCAAGGGTGGGAAAAAAGAGTCGATCACAGCAGAATCCACCTCAGATAGACATGACCAATGAAATAGATGCCCAGTGAAAAGCCAGACAAACTGGGACAGTCACGACCAGAAGACACCAGGACTATCCCCCTGACACACTCTGTAACCTCAGGACCGAGTCTCTCCCCTGAGACCACCTCTCAGCAAACATGACCTAGAAGATGGGGAGCATGGTGGCTCCACAGGAAAGCACCAGACAGTGAACCACATGGTCGGTGGTTCAAGTCCACCAGCTATTCCTAGGGGGAAAGATGAGGCTTTCTGCTCCTGAAAAGATTTACAGTCTCTGAAATCCTATACCAACTAGATGGCACTTAATAACAACAACCTATAAGATTGGCACTCTACTTGGTGGTTATGTGCTGTGGAGTCGGTTCTGACTCTTAGCGACCCTGTACAGGGTTTCCGAGGCTGTAAATTTTTACAGGAGTAGAAAGCCTCATCTTTCTCCTACGGAACAGCTGGTAGTTTCGAACTGCTGACCTTGCAGTTCGCAGTCTGATTCGCAACCACTACACTACCAGAGCTCCTTGGCACTCTACTTAAGAACCATGAATCTGAGACCCAAAAGCCAATGATGACTCAAAAGCAAAGGCAAGAAGAGAAAGGGGCAGGGAGACTAGAGCACTGGAAATGGAACAACCAGAATGCAGTGATGCAGTGAAAGAGACATGTGATCAATGTCACCTGACAATTTGTGAGTAAACTGTCAAATGGGAACCTAGCCTGCAGTGTGAACTGTCACCCAAAACTCAATAGGATGGAGCTTCCAAAAGTTCAGGGGAAAATCCCATTATGTTTTCATTCCATTTTCCCATGAACTTTTTGAAGCCCCACCATAAAATACTATTTAGAGGAAGAAGAAAAGGTACCCCCAGTAGTCACCATGCCTCGGTGGCCCTGGTGCCGGGAACAGGAGAGGGATGGACGGGGGAAGGGGGCCTTACCTCCGAGTTGATGTGATCTGAGGGGTCGATGCCAGCATACTGCAGGAGAGAAAGGTATATCAGCACCGAGAACTTCCTGCTACATCCACTCGGTGCCCACCGCAGTCCCCTCCTCATCACCCCAAACTCAGAACGATGGTCCTGCTATGCTGTGAAGTCTCTGTCCATCTCTTTGTCCATCGTAATAAAGACAGACTGTCTGAGGGGGCTCGGACTGGACACCTATAGACTCAGTCCACCCCACCTCCTGAGGCTGAGCTCTGATTGTCTTACTCATTTTACAGAGGAAGACACTGAGGGTCAGAGTGGGACACCCAGCTGGTGATTTGAACCTGGGTCACGAGGCTCCAGCCTGTCAGGCCATCTGATGCCAGCTGTGCACACCAGGCAGGTGGGGCTGAGGGTGTCTCCTGGTGCCCTGGCCAGAGAGGAGAGTGACCAACATTTATTGTGTGGGGTTTGGAGTCAAGCCTGGATTCAAGTTCCAGCCCAGGAATGTGTGAGCTTCATGACCTTGGGCATGTGCGATTTCGGCCTTTGGTGCATTGGTTTTTCTTTTCTGTAAAATGGGTATAATGAGGTTTCCCATTAAGGCGTTCGAAGCTTGTTGCATGCTAAACCTGGAGTGCAGTGCCCGGTGCCCAGGGTGGAGAACGGTAATAAATAGAACAACAAGAGACGTGTTACAGTGACAATGAGAGGCGTTTCTGTTTGGGGTGAAAGTTCGGGAATTAGATAGTGGGAATGCTGTATGCCAATGAGGACAGCCTGATGATTGGTCAAAGTGGCGAATCATGTGACTATGGTGTCACATGTTCAAACTGGTGAGACTCATCAGTACTGTCCTCACTCTCCTGACAGGGCCTCCCCTTTTGGCCTCTGATTCCGGGGACAGCCTCTTGGGGTGTCCCACAGACAAACGATCCATCCTGTACCTCACATACGGGGTAAACAGAGGCACAGTCTTCCGTGGGCAGTGGAGGAGACAAGGGTCTCCCTTGTACCCCTCACGAGCTGCCGCTGCTTGCATGTGTGTGTGTGGCCTCTGAGTGGAGATGTCCAGTTCTGACTTACCCCCAGCTCCTTCTTCCTCCTTGGCCATGGAGCTTCCTCTGGTGAATTTTCTGGGGACTGGGATTCTGACTCTACCTTCCACACCAGTCCCGAGTGCAGTTGGATGGGGGTGAACAAGGGTGACTCAGACACGGAGTAGCTGCCTGTGATCCCTGTAAGGGGGTGAGAGGAGGAAGGGGTATCAACGGGGGGGGGGGTGTGCCCAGAGCCCCCAGTGGGCAGCCCACCTGTCAGATTTGAGTCCAGAACACACAGAGGCTGGCCAAGTGGCTGGGCTAGACAGGGAACACATGAACCGGCAGACAGACGGAGTAGCTTGCTGAGAAAATAGATGGACAGATTGACCAAAACAGCTTGCCAGGATAAACTGTTGACAGACAGATGGACCAGCTTTCAAGGTGCTAAGCTTCAAAAGTGAGGAGGGGGCAGGGCGGCAGTTCTTACAGATACGAAGGAACAAGAAAATAATACATCTATAAACCTCTATGCACCCAATAACAAGACATCGAAATCCACGAAGCCACAAGCACACAAAGCAAAGTTGGCATCTCTCTCCAAAACCCACAGCATTGTGCAGACAGATGAGCTGACTGGGGGCGCAGACAGTCAGGAGATGTTCATTGAGTCCCCTTCCCCAACACCCGCACCCTACAGTATCCCCTGCTCCTATCCTGGAGACCCCAGCACAGCTGCCATCTCCCGGGCCCCCTCCTCACCAGACGCCCGGGAGGAGCTTCGTGAGTCCTGGTCGCTGCCCTCGTCCAGCGGCGGCGGCGGCGGGGAGAAGACCTCGGGGAAGAGCGCGACCCGCCGCTCCTCGGCCACCTCTCGCTCTCGCCGCAGCACGTTCTCCATCTCCCTCTCCAAGAGCTCGGACGACGGGGATTTGTGCAGCCTCAACGCCGGGGTCCCACCATCCCCGGCCCAGCCCCAGCCCTGGGGGGCCTCAGCTTGTTGGGGGCCATCCCGGACCCCGAACCGCAAGGGACGCAAGAGGAACTGATCTCGTTTTACAACACACGGGTCAGCTCTCGGGGACCCCCGGGGGGGCTTCAAGGGCACTTCTCTGGTGCCCGAGGAGGTTTCAGACGGTTCCCAAACACGCCTCTGAGACCCTGTGGTCTTGGGGGAGGCCGCGTCTGCGGATGGACCCCCGGACTTGGCGGACGCGCCCCAGGGTTTTCCGTAGGCGCCGGAAGCCGGGGACTCCAGCGAGGGGCTTCCCGGGCTCAGGTACGGCTGGTAGGCGTCGGGCGGGATGCGGTTTATCCTCCTCACCTCGGGGACGGGCTCGGCAGCTCGGGCGTCCGGGGCCCCGTCGAGGATGGAGTCACAACTGAGGACCCTCCTGAGTCCAAGCTGGGGGCTCTTTGAGGCCCAGTCGGGTGTGGGCGCCCGCCCCCACTGCTGCCTGTGGTCTTGTTCGCGTAGCGTCTCCTGCTCCAGGTCTCGCTGCACGTAGAGTGATGGGCGGCCCCTCTCCCACCGCGGGGCTGAGGGCAGACTCACCTTGGTCAGCAGGGGCCTCGTGGTAATCTGAACCAGCTCCTGGTGGCCCGCCACCCGCTGCAGGCCCCTCTGCTCACGCAGGTCGGCCTCGCGCTCCTGGGCCAGCCGGATCTCCCGCTCGATGGGGGTCTCCTTGGTGGGCTCTGGGGATTCTGATTGGGGCTCCGTGGTGGGGAACTCAACGGGTGAGCCATGGACCTTCTTAGATTCTACAACCGCCGTCTTCATCTGGGCCTCGATGGGGGTGCCATACCCGTTGGCTAGGTGGGACCCAGCGAAAGCCTTGGGGGTCTGGTTGACCACTGGTGGGGCACTCACAGAAACCCTCCTGGACATGGACTCCCCAGAGAGCCCTGCGTTTGCCTGCTCCAGATTCAGGAATTGCTGACGTGCTGCCCAAAAGTCAACCTGCTTCCTGTCGACTGAATTCTCCTCCAGGGACTGGGTCAGAGCAGGGCCAGGGACCTCGTCCCCCTGGCCAGCGGTGCCTTGGAGCATGGCCACTGTGCCGCTTGTCTTGACCAGCTGGCCCTGGATGACTTGCCGGCGTTCCCGCTGCTGGTCCCACTGCTGCTTGGAGAAGGTGTCCCCGGCATCACCTGTGTGGTCAGCCTTCATGTCCTTGCAGTCCTCTGGGTAGAGTTGCTGCGAGAAGGTGTGCAGGCAGTGGGACATACCAGTCCTTGCTGTGTCCGGCTGGACCTTGTGGTCATTGGATCTGATAGGAGATTCTTCATAGTCCCAGCCAGTCACCTCGGGCCCCACGCTCACCAGTTGCACCGGGTAGCTGACATCACCATCCAGCACTAGGCTGGTGATGCGTGTGGAGTGAGGGATGCTGAAGATGGGGTATCTGGTCACTCGGTCCATGTCCTCAGGGGTCACAGCCCCACGGCCGACGGGCTCCTGGGGGTGCCTCACTAGGGAAATGAGAAGGAAATGTCTGTGTGTCATGAATTAAACTGTGTTTCCTAAAAGCCACCAGAAGCTGGGGATAAGTGTGGAGCAGATCCTCTCTTGGAGCCTCAGAAGATTTTTGGACTTCTGGCTCCCAGAACTATGAGAGAATCAAGTTCTATTCTTAAAAGGCACTCGCTAAGATACTATGTACCAGACTCTAAAATTCACCAAACAAACACTCAAAAACCAAACCCAATTAGCAACACAGGAGGCACTCACTCACCTATGCCAAGAAATCTGAAAGACAGCTACCTGGCCAACCGACAAGAAGAGATCTATATCTGTGCCCATTCCGAAGAGAGGTGACGCAACAGAATGTGGAAATTACTGAATCCTATCATTAATATCACTTACAAGTAACATTCTGCTGAAGGGAATTCAAAGCCATTTTCAGGAGAGCAAGAGGAAGCTGCCAGAAATTCAAGTCGGTTTCAGAAGAGGACATGGTGCAAGAGATGTCATTACTGATGTCACATGGATCTTTGGCAGAAAGTAGAGAATACAGAAAGATGTTTACCTGTGTTTTGTTGACTATGCAAAGTCTCTTTTTTGGTGGTGTAGATCATGACAAGCTATGGACAACATTGCAGAGAATGAGTATTCTAGAACACTTAACTGTGCTCATGAGGAACCTGTACATAGACCAAGAGGCAGTTGTTTGAACAGAATAAGGGGACACTGAATGGTTTAAAATCAGGAAAGATGGGCTCCATCCAGAGTTGTATCCTTTCACCAAATACATTCAATCTGGATGCTGAGCAAATCATTCGAGAAGCAGGATTATATAAGGAAGGTTTATTAACAGCATGCAAAATGCAGATGACATATCCTTGCTTGCTAAAAGCTAAGAGGCCTTGAAGCACTTGCTGATGAAGATCAAAGACTACAGTCTTCAGTGTACGATAAGCTAAGGAGAGACTGATGGGTTTGAGTCGCTGACTTTTTGGCCAGTCCAGTGTTTACCCTACAGCACCCCCTTAGGACTCCTATGTCCATTCATTTGTCCATTGATCTCACAACTGGACTGATATATTTATCATAATTTCTCCATTTATCATGATATTATTTTTTGGTCCAGTTGTGAGCATTTTTGTTTTCTTTACATTGAGGTGGATGCCATACCTAAGGCCTTTGATTTTCATCAGTAAGCATTTTTAGACCTCTTCATTTCCAACAATGTTGTATCAGCTGCATGTCACAAGCTGTTAGTGACTTTTCCTTCAATTCTCATATCACATTCTTCTTCATATAATCCAGCTTCTCTGATTATTTGCTCACCATACAGATTGACTATGGTAAAGGTTATAACCCTGACGTGCCCCTTTCCTGATTTTACACCATTCAATGTCCCTTTGTTCTATTTGAACAACTACCTCTGGATCTGCATACAGGTTCCACATGAACACATTGAAGTGTTTTGGAATATCCATTCTTCACAATGTTATCCATAGTTTGTTATGGTCCGCACAGTTGAAAGCCGTTGCATAGTCAATAAAGCACAGATAAGCATCTTTCTGGTATTTTCTGCTTTCAGCCATGATCCATTGGATGTCAGCAATGATAATCCTTACTCCACATCCTCGTCTGAATCCAACTTGAATTTCTGGCATCTCCCTGTCAATGTACCGCTGTAACCATTTTTAAATTATCTTCAGCAGAATTTTACTTGCACGTGATATTAATGATATTGTTCGATGATTTCCACAGTCCATTGGGTCACCTCTCTTTGGAATCCATACCGAAGGTTGTAGTCTTTGATTTCCATCAGTTAGTATTTTTAAGTCCTCTTCGCTTCCAGAAAGCAAAGTTGTATCATCTGTATATTGAGGGTCGTTAATGAGCCTTCCTCCAGTGCGGATGCCACATTCTTTTCTATAACCCACCTTCTTGGATTATTTGCTCAGTATTTGTTGTTGTTAAGTGGCGTTGAGTCAGTTCAGACTTACAGTGACCCTATATAGGGCTTCAGAGGCTTTTTAAATCTTCGCAGGGGTTGAAAGCCACATCTTTCTCCCACAGAGCGGCTGGCAGGCTCGAACCATGGGCCTTGTAGTCCTCAATCCAATGCTTATTATATAGAGTCACTATGTACCCATTTGCTCAGCGCAGAGATTGAGTAAGTACGGTGAAAGGATGCAACCCTGGCACACAGCTTTCCTGCATTTAAACCATTCAATGTCCCCTTTCTTTTCGAACGACTGCCTCTTGGTCTATGTACAGGTTCATTATAAGAAAAATTAAGTGTTCTGGAATACCCGTTCTTTGCAATGTTGTCCATAATTTGTCATGAACCACATAGTTGAAAGCTTCTGTGTAGTCAATAAAGCACAGGTAAACATCTTTCTGGAATGTTCTGCTTTCTGCCAAGATCCATTTGACATCAGCAATGATATCCCTAATTTGACATTCTCTTCCGGATTTGCCCTGAGATTTTGGCAGTTTCCCATCAATTAGTTACCACTGTAACTGTTATTTAATTATCTTGTGCAAAATTTTACTTGTTTTGGTATTAATGGTGCTGTTAAATGGTTGGGTCACCTATATTTGGAATAAGCACAAATATGGATCTTTTCCAATCAGTTGACCACATATTACAAGTTTCTTGGCCTAGATCAGTGCGTGTCTCCAGTACCGAATCAGGTTGTTGAAAGATTTTCCATCACTTCCCGGAGCCTTGTTCTTTGCCAAGGCCTCCAGTGTAGCGTGGATTTCTTTCAACGCCATCAGTTCTTGGTCCCATGTTACCTCTTGAAATGGTTGGACAGCCACCAGGTCTTTTGGGTCAATTCTATTTTGCCCATAGAATCCTTCAGTATTGCAACCCGAGGCGTGAATTTTTTCTTCAGTTCTTTCAATTTGAGGAACACTATATGCTTTCAGCTTGAGGAACAAACAAACTTTTTGGTTTTCTAACTCCAGATCTTTGCACATTTCATTGTATTTTGTCTTCTCGAGCTGCCCTTTGGAAATTTCTGTTCAGTTCTTTTACTTCATCATTTCACCTAGTAGCTTTAGCTTCTCCACGCTCAAGAA